GCCTCTTGTGTTGTTGGAAAAGAGTGTTTGTGATGACCAGCTTGTTCTCTTGACAAAACTCTATTAGCCTTTGCCCTGCTTCATTCTGAACTCCAAGGCCAAACTTCCCTGTTGTTCCTTTTATCTCTTGGCTCCCTACTTTAGCATTCCAGTCCCCTAGAATGAGAAGAACATCTTTCTTTGGTGTCAGTTCTAGAAGGTGTTGTAAATCTTCATAAAACTGTTCAATTTCAGTCTCCTCAGCAATGGTGATTGGTGCATAAACTTGGATTATTGTGATGTTGAATGGTCTGCCTTGGATTCGTATTGACATCATTCTATCATTTTTGAGATTGTATCCCATTACAGCTTTTCCCACTCTTTTGTTGACTATGAGGGCTACTCCATTCCTTTTACGGGATTCTTGCCCACAGTAGTAGATACGATAATCATGTGAGCTGAATTCGCCCATTCCTGTCCATTTTAGTTCACTGATGCCCAGGATGTCAATGTTTATTCTTGCCATCTCCTGTTTGACCACCTCCAGCTTCCCCAGGTTCATAGATCTTACATTCCAGGTTCCTATGCAGAATTTTTCTTGGCAGCATTGGACTTTCCTTCACTTCCAGGCACGTCCACAGCTGCACATCCTTTCGGCTTTGGCACAACCACTTCATTAACTCTGGAGCTACTTGTACTTGTCCTCCGCTCTTCCTCAGTAGCATGTTGGATGCCTTTCGACCTGAGGGACCCCTCTTCCAGCGTCATATCTTTTAGCCTTTTGTTTCATGTTCGTGGGGCGTTCTTGGCAAAGATACTGGAGTGGCATTCCCATTTCCTACTCCAAGTGGATTGCGTTTAGTCAGCACTCTCCACTATGTCCTGTCCATTTTGGGTGGCCCTGCACAGCATAGCCCATAGCTTCTCTGAGTTACTCAAGCCCCTTCGCCACGACAAGGCAGCAATCCATGTGTGTGTGTGTGTGTACACACTCTATTAGTGTGTACACATATGTGTACACACTATGTACACATATGTGTGTATGTATGTATTTATGTGTGTGTATGTATGTATTTATGTATGTATGTATGTATACGTACATACGTACATACATGTATATATGAGACATACAGGGGAATTAGAGCAACAAAAAAGAAGTACAAGATCCACATGCTGCCTCCAAAAACTGAGGTGTGTAAAATATTGTAAGACTGTAAAAGATTTTAAGTCATGCAGGATATATATGGGACATATAAGTTTCATTCACACTTAAAAACAAAATATGATAGAAGTGCAGGAGAGACGGATGAGAACTGAGAAAAAAAGATTGCATGTGAAGATTGGGGTAAAAAACACTTTAAGGCTGCAATGATTCCTAGGAGAACATCCATGAATCTCCCAGGATTGAGAGCATTTAAAAATAAATAACAATAATCATGTGCATCAAGTCAATTGTGACTTATGATGACCCTTTTCAGGGTTTAGTACTCAGATTTCCTGTTCCCTTCTTCTGGGGGCACCGTGGGACTTGCCCACAGCCATACAGGCTGGCTTTTCTCCCAGGAGGTACAGTGGAGAATCAAATTCTCAACCTCTGGCTCTGCAGCCAAATATCTAAACCAAATGCTTTCACACATTTCACGTATTGTCAAGTTCAGCCCTAAATCTGGTCAGCTGAAAAGGCAGAACACAAAAGGACATCTGGTAGCTTAAAAGGCTGGTAAATGTACAGAAATTTCCCATAGTTCCTGGTTGCAGATAACAGTTTCGAACACTGCAGAATTAGCACTACTAATAGGCAAAGGGAGAGATGGTCTTTTTACACCTGTTGCAAAAACCCGGCATGCTATTCATCAGCTATCAACACTGATCCAGGAATGTGTGTCCCACTAGATTACTCACCCAGAACTTTTGGCACTGGAAGACAGGTTGTACTTCTTCAAGACAGTTCCTACAAGGAGAAAATAGGAAGACAAATCAATTAAAACAAGAACCAAAACCAACCTATTCAACCTGTACACCACTACTGCTTTCATAGATTTATGAACACTGGCTGTGGATACACAGAGATCCAGGAATGTGTGTCCCACTAGATTACTCACCCAGAACTTTTGGCACTGGAAGACAGGTTGTACTTCTTCAAGACAGTTCCTACAAGGAGAAAATAGGAAGACAAATCAATTAAAACAAGAACCAAAACCAACCTATTCAACCTGTACACCACTACTGCTTTTATAGATTTATGAACACTGGCTGTGGATGCACAGAATAATTGTTTATGATATTTCCTTTCCATTTATTGCCATTTACAGTAGTGGTAGAGGGAAGGCAAACATATCGTTCTCCTTGCCCTATTCTTCTCTAAATGGAAAATAGAAATAGATTGCCTTAAACTTTTGACATGGTTGATTTATCATTACAAATGTGGGGAAATCATAGAACACAGGGACTGACTAGTCTAGCTGTGCCATTTGGGAAGGGGTGCTTTTTAATATAAAAAATAGTCAAATAACTTTATTTGGAAGATAAAGGCAATTAACAGATACAAAAGTTCTTACTGATATGTGTAAGTAGGTACAAATAATATGTGATACGAAATGACATATTAGATTCACTGTTACCCCGAGTCCTTACCCCGTACCCTGGAAATAAAAAAATAAAAAAATTAAAAAAGAGGGGGAAAAGGAAAGGGGAAAACTTTTGACATGGTTGATTTATCGTTACAAATGTGGGGAAATCATAGAACACAGGGACTGACTAGTCTAGCTGTGCCATTTGGAAAGGGGTGCTTTTTAATATAAAAAATAGTCAAATAACTTTAGTTGGAAGATAAAGGCAATTAACAGATACAAAAGTTCTTAATGTAATGATATGTGTAAGTAAGTACAAATAATATGTGATAAGAAATGACATATTAGATTCACTGTTACCCGGAGTCCTTACCCCCTATCCTGGAAATTTAAAAAAAAATTTAAAAAGAGGGAAAAAAGGAAAGGGGGTGCTTTTCAGTCTGTTTAATCAGGAGCTCCCAACAGAGCCATGCATATAAAATGAGAAACTCTCCTTGAAAAAGTAGTTCTTCATTTTTCAATTAGTATTCCTATACATACACAGAGACAAAGAGGGCTACTTAACAATCTTTGCCCTTTAAAAAAAAGGCAGCTATATATTATTCATTTATTTCAGCACTTTTAAGATTGACAGATTTATTTCATCATTAACCTTCATTCCTCAGGCACAGGGAATTCTCTAAGGAAGTGGACTGCAACCCATGAAATCTCTTGAAATAAATCTGCTAGGCTTAAACGTGCCACAAGGTATGATTTCTTGTTTTGGTTTCTCTTTGCTACATGATCTTTGCCACAGCCTTCAGTACCTTCTAATCTACTTGTGCACTTTCAGAAGAACATTTACATTTTTGTTTTAGGGAAGAATACAAATATATGTTTCAATTAAGAGGCCACAGCTGTACCTGTCAATTTTTCTCTCACTGAAGACAGAACCCATGGTTTATTCATAATTCTCAAGATACCTTGAGTGTACTAGTCTGTGGATGTTTAGCACCATCTACTGGACATAGGGAGATTTACTGAGAAGTAAAAAGGATCATGAAATGGACCAAACAGACTTAAACACAAGTCAAAGCAAAAGAAAGCAAAAAAACACTTTCCTAAAGATAATCATATCCTCTTACATAAACACTGAAACAAAAATCCAGTGACCATGCTCTGGCTATGAATCAGGATGTGCCTATTGTAACATCAGCATGCTAGGAGGCTTTGGCAAGCCACTCTCTCAGCCTCAGCTGCCAAGCTGCAATGAGGATGCAAACATTAACGTACAGAGGATTTGTTAGGAATGAGTGCGATTACAACCATGAATTATTTTCAAATTGCTGAACTGTTACATCTAGATTACTTGTGGGGATAATAACACAAACACCAGGAACCAGCACACCAAACAAGGAAAGAACTCTCTGTGTCAGTATCAAGTACTTCCAGGGAAAAGTAAATTGAACATTGTACAGTCGTGCCTCGCTTTACGATTGCCCCACATTACGACAAAACCACATTACGATGATTTTTTGTGATCGCAATTGCAATCGCAAAACAATGGTCTAAAGGGGTTTTTTTGCTTTGCGATGATCTGTTCCCTGCTTCGGGAACCGATTCTTTGCAAAACGATGATTTTAAAACAGCTGATTGGCGGTTTCAAAATGGCGCCCCGCTGTTTTCTGGGACAGATTCCTCGCAAGACAGGCAGCGAAAACGGCTGCCCTAAGGAGTATCCTCGCTGGACGGTGAGTTTTGACCCCATTGGAACGCACTGAAGGGGTTTCAATGCGTTTCAATGGGTTTTTTTCGCTTTACAATGTTTTCGCTTAATGGCGATTTTCCTGGAACGGATCATTGCCGTTAAGCAAGGCACCACTGTATAAGAACATTTTAAAAAGCTGTGTTGGATCAGAGTTAAGAGCTATTTAGCTCAGAGTTCTGTTCATGCAGCGACCAACCAGTTACCCACTTAAAGTCCACAAGTGCAACAGCATTCACCAGCTCATATGGCCCAGCAACTGTGGGCAAGTAATATATAGCCAAGATTAGTTGACTTTGATTTATCTATCCTTCTTGAATTTGATGATTCTCCTTTTAAAGCTGATGGCCATCATACCATTTGAGTAAGCACAGTGCAAAGACACTTTCTGCACATCCTGAGCCTCTCACTCCACAGTTTCAATAGAGAACAGTAGGGTCCATTAGCATGAGAGAAAAAGCAAAACCGATCCCTTATCACTTTCACCAGTAACAAAGCAGACTGGAGGAGGAAGGAGGATTGCCTAGCTCATGCTGCAGGGAAGCATATAGTCCATCACCCAGTCCCCCCTACTAAACTGAGAAACCTGCATTCATTTTGGAAGGTGGGGCCAGCAGCCAATGACGTTCAAGTGGATCAACCGTTTTTCACAACAAAAGCTCCAGAGGTATTCCTCACTAGCAGTGTGGTTTGTCCAGGTGGAAAAGACCTTACCTTTAGTTCCTCCACTTTCCTTGAAGAAGAGACATAGGAGCAGCCATAATTTTTTCCTCCCCCCCCCATAAACATCTCTTCTTCAGAGCTGTAACGAGCAATCTGAGCACACAAGGCAATCAGTGCACAATGCATCCCCAAATCAACATTGTAATCCATGATGTGAAAATAATACAAAAAGTAATTACAGCACTGAAAACATTGCCAGAACCTCCCCTCCTCCACAAGGGGATCGGCAGTATTGTCAGAACAAAAGATAGGCACAACTTAGGTCATGCTGCATTGTATGACTCGCGCCACAAGGCACCACAGCTGCCACACCTTCTGTCCACACACCCCCAGTTGCCCAGGTAATTCTCTGTCAGTGGCTGACCAGCCCAGGAAGGAGCTCAGGCTGCCCTTCCCCACCTCCTCTGGCAGCCAACCACTCAGGCAAGGAGGCGGGATGGGTAGTCTCCCTGCGCAGCAATTGAGTGGCCGGCTGCCTGAAGAGGTGGGGAAGGGCAGCTCCAGCTCCTTCCTGGACTGGGCAGTCAGCGATAAAGGACAACCCAGGTGGTATGTGAAGGCTTCTGGGGGGGGCAGCTGGGGTGGACAGGGGGAACACATGGCAGCTACGGCACTGCATGGTGTCAGACACACAATGCAGTGTGACTTGAGTCATGGCCATCTCTAGTCAGGAATACAAAATCAAAAGAAATGAGAAGTGTGTTTAATACACACACACACACAAACATATACCATACACAATGAGAAGCTGATTTTCTGCACTGTTCAGGCAAGGGGGCAGTGTCCTGAGCTCCAAACAGACTTGCTCTCTGATGGGAGAAACCTGATTTACGCACAATCAAAACAGCCTTCTATCTAGACCAGAAGACTGGCCTAACACGTCCTGAGAAGATGCAACTACCAGTGAGGCTTGGTCTATCACCATATTGCCTCTGCTGTCTCCCGGTGACCTGGTTAGTTGACTCCTCTGCCTACCAAAACTCTGCTACAGAGGCCTGTTCTGTTGTAGCTGCTGCTGTTTGTTGTCACGTAGTGTCAAACTGCCTGCAACTTATAATAACCCTATGAATGAATGACCTCCAAAACAGACTATCATTAACAGACTTCCCCAGCTTTTCCAAACTCAGGGCCGCATCTTCCTTTATGGAGTCGAACCACCTCACATTTAGTCTGCCAAAGTACAATAATATGCCTTTTTCTTTTTCTCTGTGGCCCAGAACAGCATCTCCTATGTCACTAACACCTCCGCATTAGCAGCCTTTCTTTCAGAGGACCCAGGGACAAGAATCAGCTTGGCAACCCTGATGCAAGGAGTTCATGAAAGGGTGGGAGAACAAGGTTCCAGGCAGGCAGGCGAGGAAGGCAGGAAGCTAGGAAGGAAGGAAGCTAAACGAAACACTGCCTACACATGGAAGGCCTGTCATATTCCCAAATTCTAGTGCTCCCATCCCAAGTCACAGCCCTCTGTTTTCCCAATTCACAATCTCTCCCCACTTATTTAGAAAAATACAAATACCTACTAGAACTTGAGAACAAACTAGTTCCAGCCACCTGCAAATGTGCTCAGGGTGAGAGTCCCGATTGTTACAACAAACAGATAAAAATTTGATTGGATGGTAATGCGTGCATCCCTAATTCTCACCTTCCACTGTTAACTCCACTGTCACCTGGCGAAGACCACCAGCATTTCTGGCTTCACATGTGTACGGGCCACCATCTTCTTCTTCCACCCCTTTGATTATCAAAGTGAAAAGTCCTCGAATGCTGCAATCTGCTTTACAGCGCTCTCCTTCCATCAGAAGATGCCCATGTCTGTACCACGTGATCTGTGGTTCTGGGTTGCCTCTGACCTAGAAAGGGTAGGTGTAGGAATGAGTGGGGAGAAGAAAACCAAGGAGAGGAAGAAACAAACAGAGAAAGTGACTTTATCTGGAAGAAATGCAGAACGCTTTGCAAGCCAGTGGAAAGTATTTTCTGAAGTAGTATCTGTTAAACACATACAAATTGTTGAGAGCCAAATGGCAAAAATCAGAACAAAAAAAGAGAGAGAGAGAGGAGAAACTATTGGGTGCATCAATCTATTAAACTAGCAAATTTTTATATATATTTTGGCCAACAGGCACCCACCCAAGGCTGAACATTTTTTTCTTGCAAAGTTTTAAACCCTTTAAAAATGTGAAATTATGAAAAGCAGATTCAGAAAGCAAATACTGTATATTAGAATACATTCCAACATGAAATGTTAATTCTGTGGAAGAGGAAACTAAACAAATACATTTATTATAGCATGGAATCTATAAAAGGTATCTAGAAAAAGCAGTGATCAGATTACCTTATGTAAGACACAACCAGTACAATTTTTTTAAAAAAATAAAGGCATCTAGGATATACTGAGTGTGAAAAATTCAGGAAACAATTTCATTCTCTTCAGCCATGCCACTCTAAGATGATGAGAATGATTAATCACCTATGGAAGTTGACAGCTCCAGGTGACTTTCACAGATATTCCTTTTGCACTCCCTTTTTTGACTGACAGTAGTGAACTTTGACCCTTAAAATATCAGTGCCCAGGGATGTCTCTGAGTTTGTACAGTATGTGTTTTTTTAAAATTTACCTAGTCTGTCAAAGCAAAATCATAAATGATGACACTTGGAATTTGAAAGCTTCACTAGATGAATCGATAGATTCAACAGATCCAGCAAGGTGAGTCATCCTAATTGAATGAATGCATTTATTTATTACAGTCAGGTGAGCAGCTCATAAGAAATATTATATGGTTAAAATATACAAAATGCAATTTAAAAATGTACAACAGATAATTAATTGCGTACTAGTTGTAATATATGGGAAGAATTAAATACAGCAGTCATCCTAACTGGACAAACTGTGCAAGGCTACCAGTGATAAGGATCAAATACGCATAGTGGGAGATGCTCTCTCTTGTAGGCATCTCAGGACCAGATTCTCTTGCATACTATGCCAATGGCACAACCTTTGCAGCCAGATTGCCCCAAAGAACTCACTGCAGACATTATCAGCTGAGTCACAGAACTCACCATGGTATTAGATTGTATCTATGGTAATTTCTTAACTTAAGACAAATGTGTTGTTATTTATATTATGTCAGTATAAATAAGGAAGAGGATTTAGACTTTAGTGTCCTTAAAAATAGACTTAACAAGCATACCATGTTGAATTATAACCACAGAATTAATCTTCATGTATTTTCTAACTCTTAGAATGCACATTTTGCGTGCAAAGTGTTAATTCCAGCAGCTCCAGGTTATTGAAACCTTAGAGAGCCATTGGTAATCAGTGTATACTGAGCTACATGGGCCAGGCGTCTGATGAAGGGTATGTCAGCTTCCTATGCTCCCCTCATGCTAGTTGTGGTCCCATATTTCAGGATTGCAGACTTTAAAATGTAGCCGACGAGTCAAGAGAGTTGAAAAGTAAGTGAAGGCTTATTTTTGAAACAATGCCGATTTCTATATCAATACTGTATATAAACAGCAGAATAATGTTAACTTCTTAATAACAGCAAGATGTGGAGTGGAACTGTTTCCATTGCACCATGCAAAGTTGCCCAGTGATCAGTCAGCAAAAGGGTATTGCAACTTGTCGAGAAGAAATTCAAAAGCAAAAGCAAACGGGGGCGGGGAGGAAAGATGCCCCTCTATTATGCCTTGATTCAGAGTGTGTTGATTCTGTTGATATTTTGATCTGCAATATAAACAGGGCTTTGGGGGTAAAAGTATTCTCACACATTTAATGTAGTCCAGTGTTCCTTTTTTACAGGTGAGGAAGTGAAATGGGCAATATGAATTGCTGCTGGACTTCTATCTACTTTGATGTACTCTGGTTTCCGGTTTTTTAAATCAAAGACAACTATGAATTGCTGCTGGACTTCTATCTACTTTTATGTACTCTGGTTTCCGTTTTTTAAATCAAAGACAACAACTCATATTGATCTCTCTCTCTCTTTCTCTCTCTCTCTCTCACACACACACACACACACACACACACACACACACACACACTTGAAAGGGGATATCAGACAAAGACATTACTTCATATGTTAATTACAAATAGAACTGAAACACAAGCAGAGGTTGAGGGGGAAGTGGAGGTAGTGAAGTCAAGACTTGGGCTCTTGACCAACTACAAAGAACAACTAAAGAGGCAGAAGACTGATAAATGGGAATGCACCTGTAAAATGACATCCTGTACAGTTATAATAGGATACTTAGTGTGGTGTAGTGGGCAGAGTGATGGGCTAGGACCTAGGAGCCTGGGTTCAAATCCTTGCTCAGCCACTGAAACTCACAGGAGGGTGGAACTGGTAAAACCACTCCTTATATATCTCACTTACCATGAAAGCCCTGTTAGGGTTATTATTAAGTCCGTTACGACTTGATGGCACATCAAACACACACACACACACGCATTTGCCCAACATGCTGTGATCTTAATTGGAAAGGTTCCACAGAATGCAAAACACATTCCAACCAACAGACATATCTGTTGAACACGCACGTGAAGCCTCTGCCCAGCTGGGAAATATTTCCTTCGCGTACCAAGTGAAAATATCCTCTTTTAATGGAAAGCAGGGCTGAAACCTTTGTGGAAACTGATCCCCCTTGCAGGGAAACGGAGCTGGCCTACAAAGCTTTAGGTGTTTCGCTGAAAGGTAAGGAGCCAGCATTTAGGGGGTCACTGCAGAGGATAGCCTGCAAAGGACTCTCCTGTCACTTTAGTAATAAGAAGGTTTTAGTTCTGAGTCATTATATATAAAAGATACCACAAGAAATCTTTGTCATTTTCTCATCAGCACATCAAAAGCACAACTGTGGGCCCTACTGAGATTCTTCAGGTTTCTAAGGCTCTGCAGGTGGAAGGCATAGTAATGCAGGTCTGATCTTGTAGTAGTAAAAAGCATGGATAAAAAGGGGCAGCGTCAGAGGTGGCTTAAGGAGGAGGAGTTGATTTAACAAAACCAGGAATGCAGAGCGTGCAGCCCTTCTGATGGACAGCACAACCAAGGATGAAGGATGTGGAAACTACAGTCCGACTATACAAGAAGGCTCAAACAACACACCCATCCCCAAACAAACCAATCTAGGCTGGCTTGTTCCCTGCAACTTCATTTTTTTCCTGGCACGCAGTCCACTGTTAAATGACATACAGGCCACAAAATAATGTACCAGTTCTTTTTGGATGCTATGCTAAAATGTGTTTGGAATATTCTTGTTTCATTGACAGTAAATGTATCTCTGTAGCTTTTATCTTATTTCCCTTAGCTCCAGCTGGACCATACGATGCCTTTCTTATCCAGTTCTTCAGTTACTGATGTTACACAGACTCTTTGACCATCCTTTGGCTCTCCATCCTTCGTAAGTTATTTTTCAATTTTTCCCCATATGCTTCTTTTTTTAGAGGCATCAATGTATTAAGGAGAAGTGCAGGCATGGTATATTTATCCAAAAGGATGAGAAAATTCTTCCTTGGGAAATGAGAGATAGAGAGACCAATTCACATAATTATGCATTTAATTATTCTACCCTCTTTCTTCTGTTGATCTGGGGCTTTAAAGGGGTAGAATCCTTATTCTACCCCTTTAAAAAAGACAACTAGTGATTTACACTGTTGTGAAGATTTACATTTCAGGCTGGACGTCGGAGCACATTTCTCAATGAACCAAACCCTGCACTGAAAAAAGGTGCACCACAGCCATAAAAATGTCAGGTGATTCTCAAACAAATTCCTAGCTACCTCAGTCAGATGCCAATGGAACCCTTCCAGAACTGCAACAGGTTTTCATATAAATATAAAAATATTTTTTTCATGTAACTCTTCCCAGCTTTTCAGAAACATCTGCCTTTAATAATGCATTAACAACAGCTGGGTGAGGATTTATATGTTTATTTAATGCTTTGCAGAATATGGCTGGCATTCTTATTTACAGTCCTTTCCACTTTTTACCTAGCTTCTACAGCACAAGTGGTGGTGGGGGGTATCTTTTCACTCTGATGCAAATAAGAGTCTCCTAAAGCACTGGTTCTTAACCTTGGGTTACTCAGGAGTTTTGGACTGCAACTCCCAGAAGCCTTCACCACCAGCTGTCCTGACTGGGGTTTCTGGGAGTTGCAGTTCAAAAGCATCTGAGTAACAAAGGTTAAGAACCACTGTCCTAAAGGAAAGCAAGGCTATCTAGTGTGGTATAGTGGACAGGGTGATGGGTTAGTATTCGGAAGGCCTGTGTTCAAATTCCCACTCAGCCATGGAAGCTCACTGGGGGAACCAGAACAGGAAAACTACTCCTTAAATATCTCACTTCGCTGAAAAGCCCAATTAGGGTCACTATGAATCAGTTCCAACTTGAAAGCAAGTAAGAAAAGATTTAAATCCAACTTGCTTTTAGCTAAGGACTTATTAACACTATACATTGCTTGAAAAAAAGAAAGCTGTATGTTATGTATGCAACTGGATCTATGATAGGGACTGAGCTGCAGCCAACGGCTACGTATCCTCTTCAGCCATTATGTTGAGGCATTTAGTAGGTATGGGAAACACTCATTTGCCATATTATGGCTAAAATCCAGTGCGAAGTTGCAACTGGGGTAGACTGCCTGAACATATTTAGGACTGCATCTTGAGTGCAATAACCAACAAAGAAAAATAAAGTTTCTAACAAACAAAATGAATGAACTGAACACTGTCCTCTTGTGTTTATGCATTTATTACGTCCAATACATGACAGCATTATGGCCTTGGTTTTTAAACAGTCCAGATAAGTGAAGAATCTGAACATATTTTCAATCAGTGCCTGAGACTAACTGTTTCTGATTT